GCACATTGGGTTCATTACTCAATCCTCAGCACATTAATTTTAATTTATTCATATCAATCAACTTTACTAAACTAAAATACTCGAAAAAATGTCGCTCTTACACCACCCTTCATATTTTGAAGAGAAAAAAACCTATTTTACTTAAAATGTACAGAATATACATCAGTGACCATCTACAGTTATGAGTCATTAATGTAACAAACACATGTTGGAAAAAGTACATAATGAAAGGCTGTCGTCACGTACCGCCTTACATTTGCAACACATTCTAGCAAGTACGACAAATACAATTTTTCAAAGCATCCTACTTACAGCTGTTTTCCTGGGTTGATAGAGTGCTGATCGATTTCACGATCGTACTCCGTACGGACAATGTCTAGCCGTCCATCATCGCCAAATGCTCCCCACTCCGTGTTGATGACAACGTATGGTTTTGATCTGTCTCCGTCAAACACTTTCAACATAACACGCATTGCTGCCTGTTCCTGTGTTCAGAGACAGAAGTATCAAAGCGAGCCCTGTTACTTCAAATGTACGTCAACAGCATTTCTGCCCTCAGTGATTTTAAAGTGCCTGCCACCATTTAAAATAAAATAATAATGATTCCAAAATTATATTTTAATTTCTAGAAGTCGGTTACGTAGGACATTAAAAGTTTATATGTAACAAAATCTGCTTTTATTGGAATATGTATAGTCCCAAGGACATACGCGTGGAGAACAATGTAAAAATATGTAATAAACAGAAAATTTTTAAGGCAAAAATGATACAAAAGGAATATAACAAAAATATCGTGCTCGAGTATTTTTTTAAATTCATATAATTGTCCTCCCTGTTGTTCTTATTGAAATTTAACTGAAAAGAAGTGTCACAAAAGAATTAAGCATACTTTGTGTAGAATACTTTAATGGGTTACTCAGAGTATGGGTATGGATGTGAGCATGTACACACATACACAACACAATTTTCTATAGAAAAAAATATACCAGGTTGGCTCATAAGACCCAAAAATTCTGTGATGTTACCTCCAAATCACTGACTAACCATTTTTTAATTAATTAGTCCATTATTTGGCTAAACTCCGGTGGGATACATACGCATACAGGTTGAACGTTCAATGCCTTTTAACTTACTTTATGCAGTCACGCACAACAACCATTTTATATTTTAGTTGACAACATCAGTCTTTATTTAAAACTTATTCTATTTACCGTCCCCCCCAAATTATACTGCGCCTTATTCCATATCTCTATTTCTGAACATGACTGTACTCCATTATAGTATATTTACAAATACAACTGGCCCTTGGTCAGTTAATGCATAGCATAAATTGGGGTAACGTCATATTTCCATGTCATGCACTTGAAAGTAAAAAAGTTTGTCCAGCTACGTGCCATGTAGGCGCTTGGGGTGTGGAGATATAGCTCTTCTCTTCCTTGACACTAGATGGGGGTGAGTGGTTAGCATCACGCCCCGGTACCCATTGGACAGGAGGCTGTGTGGGCCCCAGAGCCGGTCTGGACGCAGAGGCTAGAGGAAAAATCCTCTGCCCCCGTCGGGGATTGAACCCCAGTCGTCCAGCCCGTAGCTAGTCACTATACTGACTGAGCTATCCTGGCTCACATGCACTTGAAAGTAAATCAACACAAAAGTACGAGGTCGTGCATGACTGCATAACAAAAAATTTGAAGGCACTGAATATTCATCCTGTGTATATAATGTACGTGAAAATCACTTTAAACAAAGTCCAATTCAAAAAAGGTTTCCAGATGTGCGCGCGTGCAGCTTTGACCGCAAGTACACAGATATGAGGCGTTTGCTGTTTCCGTTCATGAAAACGCATCTGAAATGGATAAATGCAATCCACTTGTAAGTAGGTTTTGCTACATAATGGGTTCTTATACTTGAAGCAGCGAGGAATATTCAAGCAAAACGTCAACACTGAACTTGTGGCCAAATTTTATTACACCGTATTTCTTGCAAGTTACTTTTTCCTACCATTCCATCATGCACTAAGTGAAGACTAATAAGTAGGGGTGGGGAGACACTTGCGATAAAAATATTTTGCTACCTAATTTATACACAACACTCATATGCAAATATTTACAAGCATACAAACATCAGTGCATTGAAATAAACACATTACGTACACAAACAACAGTGACACTCGCTACAGTCTGCACATCTTTCCATGTTTTCTTTCTTTTTCTTCTTCTTCTTCTTCTAGTATAACTTCAATTTCATATGGGTTAGTGGAGTTTAGAAATGTTAAACTCTCAAAAATTTTATCTGCAAGTCTTTAACCATAATTATACAAACAGAAACATGACTTCAGAGATTTTATATAATAAATATTTGTATGAAAATATAATATATAGTGAATATCACTGCTATATTAATAACATACTTGCATGTTCAGACTGTAGAAACAAATGGATATAAATGTTTTAAATCTAAAGGGAATGGAGTTCAAGTGCACGAGGCCGACAAAGTGCAGATTACGCCATCTTGTATACATACTCGTCAACCTGTACTGTTTCATGAACTTACTATTCGACCAGTTATAAAAATACAAATACTTCTAAAAATAATTAATATTTTATTACCTGCTTAAAATAATCTACTTTACAGAATGCAGTACCTCATAACACCGGACAAATTATAGTAACACGCGAGATCATGATTATTCCGGTGGTAAATATGTTAGATATCCATTCTGGGCCTTAAATATTGTTTTGAATATGAAATTCTTGCCTCTCTGCAGTGCAGTGCTAGTCAGATACACTATCAATATATACTGAAATAAACACACATAACAGACCTACTGGAATACTGGGACGACCCGTCCTTCAAGTGCCTGAGCACCGCGGGTCCCAACTTTTTCGTTGGCTCAATCTATAGACATTTTTGGTAGTACTCCTTGGACGAGGGATCGGCCCGTCGCAAGGCCTCTACCTGTACACAGGACAGAGAAACGCGGACAAACATCCATGGCTTGAGTGGGATTTGAACCCACGGTCCCAGCGACCAAGCGACACAAGGCCCACGCCTCAGACCGCGCGGCCACTGCGGACCCCATAACAGACCTACACAACAAAATATACACTACAACCTGACTTAAATACAAGAAAGCCAGTACAAAGTAAGAATGCGGTGAACAGCCCACCACCTGAGGAAAGACGACACAGAACTTAAAGGCATTAATACACTGCAAAATGCAAGACACAGATTTAAATCCATATAACAGACAAGTGCATGCATCGGCAGACAGTCGAAGTGCATCAGGCGAACGGCAATTCAAACTTTCCTACTTTCACATACCGACAATGAGGCCAATCCTGCAGTTGAAATTCTTCCATGCACAAGACATTAATGTTCCTGTTGTGTCATTGAGAATGGCACAAACATCAATTTGTACATCCTGAAATACAAAAATACATCGTATGACAATACAGCGTACACGCAGCGCAAATGGAGAAATGTGATGTAGCGCAACTTATCTGCATACCAGCTGCTAGAAGAAGAAAGGTTTTTGATCAGACATGCTTACGCTGAACCTCTAATCTGATGTATGAATTAAATAACAATCTATTGATTCTGTAACTCCGTGGCGAACGCCATTCACAGTGGTGGACACAGAACGTTATTAAAATGATACAAAAATTAAGAAAATTGTTACGTAAAAGAAAACAGTATATGTAACATTACAATACTAAACTCTAATATAACTGCTTTACTTTGCGTCTCATATCAATGAATTTTATGCCCATGTAGAAATGGAATTAAAAAATGTATTTTTTATGAACTCGAGAATAACTTTTGTCTATTCCAGTGTGCGCTTCACCTATCAAACAACATATGACAATGTTGCCCAAATTTAAATACATATTCAAATGCTATTAAGCCCAGGTACGCCAATAACGCAAAATAAAATGATCTTTGATCTATGAAGGACGACCATATTATCTATTCTCTAAATTCTTATGAAATTTTTAATAACTATAACATAAAATACATTAAAATCTAATTAAAATTACACTTCTACAGCAGCGACCTTGCGGAGACAGCTAATTTTGGAAAACATCTATTGTAAAATTCGTTTTATTACAATCAAATTTATTAAGAATTATCTAAGTTGCACAATTTTAGTTCCACAGAATCAATGAAACATGAATTTGTATCACTTGTAATTCATAATCATTCAGAGGTTCAACTTATTAGCCACTCATGCAGTCACTCTCCTCGTGGTACTCAGAGCTATTCTTCGACTTACCAACAATTACGCCTATTCGGCAACTCCCATTTTTGTGAGCACAAGACATTAATGTGCCAACTGCATCATTTAGAATTCCTGCAACTTCTATATTGTAAGTATCCTGAAAAGATATTCAAACTATATGCATTCGGGGACAGGAGCTTTGGATCACACGTGGATACTAAATTTTATAAGCCAAATTCTTGAATTGGGAGGAGGGGGGGGGGATGATAACCCTAAGTAGCAAGGAAATAAGATATTTCACGTCTAAGGGAAGTTAACAAATATACTCATAAAAATATTCGTTTTGGACATAACCTCAAAAGACGAATCTCAATAAATGAGGTTAGGGGACACGTGCAAAAATTACACTTTAGCATATTTTAACCCTTAGATTTTTTGATATTAGATGAGAGGACAAATTATTTTGGACTGAATTATATCAAGCATTCCCTGAATTTAATCTGCTCTTGATTTTGTCGTCGTCATTCTGACTTGTCAGTGTCGTCCACAAATACTTGAATTTTGTCACATTTTCAAACGATTCATTAGCTATCCTTATATTCTGGTTCTGTCCTGAATTCTGATGCCAAGACATGACCATTTACTTTGTGTTTTCTGAATTTATTTCTAGACCAACTAGCCCTCAAGAGCGTTTCTGCGTTCGCTTTTATAGTATTTATATAAAAACTTACATTTCTTCTGGCAAGAGCATCCTTCAGAAGTCGAACCACATCTTCCCCGACGCATCCACTGCAATCAAACCCCTTTGTCCACCGTTCTAGTAAACCCTTCGTGAGTCCCTTCTGTGTGAGCGGGAAACTGAACGTAAATCCAAGAGGGAGTCGTTCATCTCCCACGTTGTGCTCCTTCATAAAGTTTGCCAAGCATTCTGCTATGTGATCAAACAGCTGAGAAAAATAAACCACAAAGTCAAGTTTAACGAAGGCAAGATTCAATCTGTAGCGTCAATAATATTAACACGTAAGTGTGTCGACCGCCACGGTGGTCTAGCGGTTAGAACGCTGGCCTTGTAATCCTGGGGTCTCGGGTTCGATTCCCGGCGGTGCCCGAATTTTTAACTTCCCCGGTTTCTCCGTGGCACTCCATACTCCATACAAATCACTTCTATAATTGATATGGTGCAGGACTAAATCTCTGTAAAATACATCAGAGTTCATAACATCTGTTTCCTTACCTGTGTTCCCGATCCCAACATAATACTTTGTGGTATGGCATAAATCTTTGATTTCATATCAAAGTGCTTTTCTCCAAGAGTTATGATCAACACACGGAAATTTGTACCACCAAGATCCAGTGCCAAGAATTTTCCTCGTTCTGAAATCAGTCAATCAGCCGCAAATCAGCAGATTTCCATATTTTCCCTCCTCTCGCACTGAATACAGTACAAAACCTCTATTAATAGGTTTGAAAATAAATACGTTCTGTATCACAAAGTGGCCAGTTTATCTACAATCGTAAATTTCATGATCAGACAGGCCGTGGGCTGGATAATCAGAATTAGGTTCTTACATTATCAGGATTTTTCAATGTCCTATATATATATATATATATGGCTATTTTCCTGGGTATAAAGTGACTTTTGTATAGTGACAAAAGCCAGAATACACCAGTAAACAACTATCCTCATTCTACGTTCCCAGTCGTTTCCTTCAGTCTCTTTACAAATCAGTACTGAATTTAGACAGTGCCACCTTGATCGCACATGCCTGATCGTATGTCTTCTACCGAGTATCCATTGGCACATAACTTTTTTAAAAAAAGTTGCCAAAGTCTGTATAACCTAAGGGCAGGCAAGAAAGTGTGTGATCTATCCCTAAATAATATGATTATGGAAATATACCTTTTAAAAATTACGTATATAGTATAAAGGTCAGATAGAACAAAAACCTCATTAATTATTTGCATTTTGTGAGGTTAAGTACCAACTTTTACTGTGAAGACTACGTTGATTACAGGAGCCCAGATGCCAAATACAGTCGCCATTTGTCAGTGCATGAAATGTATAGACTCGGCCAGAGTATCTGAATATCAGAAACAATTCAACAGAAATTCTGAAATCGGACAAATATTTCTGCAAACTTCTCATGTTTTCAGAACAGTACACATTATGCAGGAATCGAAACATTTTAAAATATCTACCATCACAGGCACAGTTTAAAGTAGCATTACATAATTGTACTTGTAAATGATGTAAAGGTAGCCCTCGATTTACGCCGGGGACGCGTTCCTGGACGAATCGGCGTAAACGGAATCGGCGTAAATTGAAACTCTTTTATAATTTAAATCAATGGGAAGTCAATTACATGCGTTCCCAGCACCCAAACATTGACGAGTAATATAATGGCATTACATTTACAGCTCTGAAATAACGTAAATAAAATAAAGGGAATTTAAAAAATATATTTTATACGCTTACAATCGGCATTGACTGTGATTCTTTCATGTGATTGATATGTACAGTCATCTCTGCTGTTAAGCGATAGTTGCATTCATGTAAGACGCCGACCTATCGAAAATCGCGTAGTAAAAATAACCCCGGTACCTCCGCGGAGATTAAATTAGTCCTTTGAAAGTTTAAAGCGCCAAGAATGAAATTGCATAAGAGCAAACTCGCATATGCAAAAGTTTACATTTCACAAACAACTTTTATCGATTCATCGATATCATTGGGGAAAATTCGCGTTAACGAAACTTACGTAATTGCAGAGATGACTGTATATTTATAATTTTTATTAAAAATCAGCGATGTAAGAATTACGATTTAGTATAAGATTCAGTACGAGAAACATTGTAAAACGTTATAAATAATAGTTAAATATATTTTTTCACTTTCTTGTTTCAAAATCGGCGTTATTCTGAATCGGCGCAAATTGAACCGGCGTAAATCGAGGGTTACCTGTATTGTATTATGTATTATTCCACACACGACTGTTATGAATCCATTTTACTCAACACAGATACGTGTAAAGATAGATGTATGTTAGTTCGTATGTATTACCAGTGCCATTGGGCAGGTCCTGAACATAGGTCACAAAACATTTGACAATAGCCTTTTCGTGAGTGTCTTTCCGGAGGCCCAGTTGGATGTCCTCCAGAAGCCGATTCATTATCTCACTGATCTGAACATCAGTTAATAGCAGTTCCTTGCAATGCTCACGGATCTGTAAAAAGTAATAAATGACAATGTCATTAGGTCCTACATAACCATTTTGCAAAAGTCATTCTGAACATATTCAAGGATGAGACTGGGGTCATATTTTTAACTCGTGCTGATTGTGAGGCTCACATGGGTGAGTACTGACTTGACAAAAATTCAAGGAACATGACATAGAAATACGAATGCATGTATGAAACTTGTTGCGTAATACTAAACTCAAAGATCTTAATCTTCTAATTACATTGAAATCCTAGATTCTGTGGGTAAATTAACCAGTTATGCAACATAAGTAATATGCAATATTTTCATCACCATTTTGAGGTTATATGGAATCGTAACATATCGCCCACATCCAGTGAAAGAACAGCGTAATAATAATGGGTTTGTTATGGCCATCTATCAAAATATGAGGCACTTTAGTAGTTTTTCTCAGTTCATCCACAAAAATGTTGGGTTATGTAAGCAGTTACACTCGATACGAAGAGATAATATTTTTTAAAATTTACCCAGTGTTGTCTATCTTATCTGTCAGAGGCTTTCACAGTGATGAAAAATTGAATTGTAATCTACGTTATGATACGTAGCCACTGTTATACTACTATGAAAACAATTGTTAACAAAATGTCACCCAACATAACCTAAACGTACACATCGAAACCTCATCTAACCTAACCTAACTTTCAAAAGTAACCTAAAAAAATCCATTTCAACTCCCTGACTAATATAACACGGAGGTATATCTCCCCATCTAGAGAGATTCTTTTCATTACTTACATCCACCAATGTTGACGTGAGAATTTTACTTTCAGTCAAGTCAAACCAAATTTCATCGAAATCTAAAGTACGAATTTGAGGTCGTGCAGAATTGCACGGACAGACGGACAAAGACACGACCAGCTCATAACGCGTTCTCGCTATGCACTTCTTGCAAAGACCACATAAAAAGCGAAAACTAATCTATCTAAAGATTTCCTCGTATCGACTAAGTGTCCTGAAAACGTTCAAAATCATGCATGTCATTTGTAATAAAGACGAAACTAGCTGAAGTACCATGTCTTTTGTGCAATACTCACGCTGAAGGAGTAATGCTGTCTTATTTGCCTTGTAGGCACACGAATACTAAGTGTCCAAGGTGGAATGTATTTATTTCGACCTTGAAAACGTTACGAAATCAAGTATCGCGATCTTATCAGGGACAAAGTGTTCTAAAATTAAAGATTGCGCAAAATATCGAAATTAAATACAGAAATCGGTACATTATTTACTTTTTATTATTTATATATTTTATTTAGTGTTGTGTCTGACGACAGGTCCATATGAACAGGATCCTTCCATCCTTTTCTCGGACTGGGACCTGTTCATATACGTTCTTGGCAGATGATCCAGAAGTGGTTTGCCATTGCCTTCTTCTGTGTGTGAATGGAGTAATTGTTGGGATGCCACGGAGGAAAACTCCGTGTTGCCTAGACCACGGCCTTGCCCAACACAAGTTATAAATTCGGGCACCGCCGGGAATCGAACCCGAGACTCCCAGGATTACAAGGCCAGCGTTCTAACCGCTAGACCACCGTGGCTATAAAACATTATTACACAAAATTAATAAAAATACATTAATAAGGTGCCAACATACGCACTTATGCACAGTACCAACTACTTTAATCTCAATTGTAAAAAATTCACACTGAAACTTTATTACCACGTTCACTAGTACCCGCCACTACATTCTGTCATAAGCCAGATGAATCCAATCAACATCCCTTTTCACTGATCGCAAACCGAAGCAACTCCTGGGCACACACAATTTTGTACGAAAGAAGAATTTGCATAAAACAGTGGATAAATTACTGACGAAATGTTGATTTTTGTGTGGATTTTCGTTTGTGAGAATGAAATTATGTTCGTGTACGCAGAACTGTACAAATACTAAAATACTAAAATAATAAAAGAAATCATTAGTTCGGCAACAGCCAAGAACATAAACTGACAGCAAGGCAGTGATACCAACTGCCATCCATCATAAGCTGAGGTCGTCCTTTAAATGTCTTCAGAGTTTACCAAGAAAAGTTCTGTGATCATTTTTGTGTGAGTTAATTTAAAATATTTCCGACAGTTAACAAGTTCAAAATTAGTTATGGAAATTTCTGAGAAAGGGTTTCGCGTGTTCTGATAGTTCGCTTAAATAATTTCGTCTGCTACGAAGCATAACGAGACGCAGAAACGAGGATAATTCTCGTAAAATATATCGCAAATTCTTCTAATGCAGTTCCTGCAAATTTCAAGGTTATCTAAAATTGAATAAAAATTTACTTGGATATTATCCATCGTCTAGTAAATATAAAACGTAAAACGACGTTTCGGAGATGGGACTCTATCTCCGTCTTCAGGTTCCTACACAGTTGGGCCCACTAGATAGAGCTAATCCCTATCTCCGGACAAAGTACAAAGTGAAAGTCCCGGAATAAAAAGACATTACCACACCATCCATCCGTGGACGTAAAAGTGCTGACAGGGAAAAACGTTTAGTGACGTTTAATATCTAAAGGCACAGATGAGGGAACCAGCTCATTGTTTTAATAACCGGTGGACGTTACTTGAAGGTAAAGACAGTTATTTTATCACCAGTACTTGGAAATTCAAACATCCATAAATAATTTTGGAAGAAAGGAAGTTGTCGGGGAAAACCAGGGCCTTCTATGTCACTGTCCATCATTCTGACAGTTACGACGGCGACTACAAGAGATACCACGTGACAAACCTTCACCTTTAACTCAGTAACTACTGCCGTTATTAGCCAGTAAAATATCCGAGTGACTCCAATAAAGAAATGCTAAGCAACATTGAATTTAAAACTTCCTTTGGCCGAAACAAGGCCAGCAAATCAGATTAGCTGTTTCTTTTCGACTTTGACGAAACGTGGTTTATAAAACGCATTATAAATCGGGATATTTGGCCTTTCTTGGTCTGACATTATCGCCGGTACGTGATATACTGTGACAGTCATTTCGGGTTTAGACACGAGATATTTCAAACTGCCTCGTTGTTCGAAGTAATGTTTCTTCGTTAATTACGTCAAACCGTTTTCCGTGTAGAAAGTAGCTAAGTCACTTCTGTTACACTGTAGTTAACCCTTTGAAGCCGAAGCTCGTCTGAATATTATTTATCAATTCAGTCCGTACCGCGAAGAAAACACTACACCTCACCATTACGAAAATCAGCTGGTTAACCCTTTGAAGCCGAAGCTCGTCTGAATATTATTTATCAATTCAGTCCGTACCGCGCAGAAAACACTACACCTCACCATTACGAAAATCAGCTGGTTAACCCTTTGAAGCCGAAGCTCGTCACCATTACGAAAACCTCAAAAGATGGCAAAGCACTGTAAGATAAAAAAAGTCTGTGTCCACTTTTAACCCTTTGAAGCCGAAGATCGTCTGAATATTATTTATGAATTCAGTCCGTACCGCGAAGAAAACACTACACCTCACCATTACGAAAATCAGCTGGTTAACCCTTTGAAGCCGAAGCTCGTCTTCATAATATTTACGTATCCAGACCGTACCGCGAAGAAAACACTTCACTTACCCAATAGAAGTCGAATCAGGCGGTACCACATAAGATTTAACAAACGAACATCCCGGTCAAAGCCTTAAGTACGAGGTATGACCAATTTGCATGAGAACTCCGTGATGGAAATTGTATGTTCCTTATCGCATCTGAGATCAAATCGCGAGTCCAATTACTTCTTACTTCCCAGTATCAGTTATCAGATCACTGTTATAAAGGCCTGTGCGTCTCTTCTGACAATTGGAAGACTTAGGGCGGTATCGCACTAGGATGCCATGTCAGCGACACCAACAGCGATGCCATGGCGTCCAGCTGCCAGCTTTCGACGCCAGTCGAGCGAACAGATGGATCAACGTTATGAGATCACGAAATGAAGGGCTATTAGGAAGGAGAAATGTCCACTTTTATCACTTTTGAGAAAATGAGATTTACCTTTATCAAAACTACATACCTGGAGTGAATTTCAATTCTGTAACAAAGAAATAAGTAAGAAAAATTCTCCATACACACACTTTGCACGTCCATACCATTATTGAATTTGAAATATTTCAGTTCTTGCAAATCACGTGTAATATTACATGAACAAACTTTATTTAATAAAACATTATAAAAGCAGGTTTCTTCTTAATTCACATTATTTGTGATATATAGATAGATATATAGATTGCTAAACAAAAAACTTAAAAATCAAGTTGCCATATTGGAAAGCGGCCCCACAAATAAAGCCATAGAAACACTTCTTAGCTAATTCTTTCTTTTCTACTGT